GTGCTGGAGCTAGCGGTGCTACTGGAGTAGGCGCTTCTGGGGGTGCGGGACCCGGAGCTGCTGCGTCTTCTGGTGGTCCTCCTGCTGCTGGAGCTGGAGCTGGAGGTTCTGGAGCTGGAGGTGCTGCTGGAGCTGGTGCTCCTGGGGGTACTGGAGTTGGCGCTTCTGGTGCTGCTGGAGGTGCTACTGGAGCTGGTGGTGCTACTGGAGTCGGAGCTGCCGCTGGGGGTGATGGTGCTGTCCCCGCTGGTTCTGGAGGTGCTGCGCGGCCTCGGCCGTACTTCGTTCCGCTCCTTGAGCAGGTTCTTGGCCTTCCGCCTTCTTCTGGTCCTTCTCCTGCCTTAGAGTGTCCACAGCTCGCCCCGTCTGCGTCACAGTTACAGCTCGCCTGTCCACTGCCTGCCCCTTCTCCCTACACTGGTCCTACTGGAGGTCTTGCTGAGCGTCGTGAGCCTGAGTCGCGTCCAGCGTCGCCTGTTCGTGCTGTTCGCACCGGTCGCCGTGTTCCGCGTCAGCGTCCTCCTGCGGTTCCGGGCACGCACCAGATGGCACTGCGTCCTTCCACTGCTCCTCTGCGGGTCCCCTTGCCGTCTCCTCCAGAGTCCTCTCTTCCTGCTCTTGCTGACCTGGAGTCTGACTCTCTTCGTGCTGCCAGTCCTACTGTCACGCGTCTCCTGGCTACTGCTGTCACTGACCCTTCCTTTGAGTCCACTGCTGCGTCTTCCTTAGTTGCTGAGCTGGGCGACTTCGCTGCTCACTGTCGTTTAGACTACGCTGCTAGTCTTGTTGCTGAGTCTGAGTCTGTCTGTCCTCCGTCCGTCGGGGGTGAGTGTGCTCTTGGCACCGACGTTCTTGAGGACAGGCAGGAGGAGTTCCAGTGCTTTGCTGCTGCTTTACCTCATCTCGTGTCCATGCTGCTTGCCCCTGAGGGAGACCCGGATGCACCAGACATCCCGACTCCGCGCTCTTACGCGGAGGCGGTAGAGGGTCCCTACTCCTCTCAGTGGCAGGCAGCCATGGACGCAGAGATGGCTTCCTGGAAGTCCACAGGCACCTACGTCGACGAGGTTCCCCCACCTGGGGCGAACATCGTCAGTGGCATGTGGATTTACAGGGTGAAGCGGCCGCCGGGTTCTCCGCCTGTCTTCAAGGCGCATTACGTGGCTCGAGGCTTCAGTCAGCGGCAGGGACTTGACTACTTCCAGACCTTCTCCCCTACCCCGAAGATGACCACTCTTCGGGTGCTGCTACACATAGCCGCTCAGCGTGACTACGAGCTTCACTCTCTTGACTTCAGCACTGCTTTCCTACAGGGCAGCCTGCACGAGGAGATCTGGCTGCGCCGCCCTCCTGACTTCACTGGGTCGTTTCCTCCTGGTACCCAGTGGAGCCTCCGGCGGCCAGTCTACGGCCTCCGCCAGGCTCCCCGCGAGTGGCACGACACACTGAGGACTACACTTGCGGCTCTTGGGTTTGCTCCTTCTACGGCTGACCCGTCGCTGTTTCTACGCACCGACACCTCGTTGCCGCCGTTCTACATCCTCGTGTACGTCGACGACTTGGTCTTTGCCACTGCTGACACTGCTGGACTCACCCACGTGAAGTCGGAGCTGCAGAAGAGACACACGTGCACAGACCTGGGTGAGCTGCGCAGCTATCTTGGCTTGCAGATCACCCGGGACAGAGCACGGCGCACCATTACCTTGACTCAGTCACACATGGTGCAGCAGGTCCTTCAGCGCTTCAACTTCACGTACTCCTCGCCTCAGGCCACTCCTCTGTCTACGCGCCACTCGCTCTCAGCTCTGCCTTCGGATGAGTCCGTAGAGCCGAGTGGCCCGTACCCAGAGCTTGTTGGCTGCCTCATGTACCTGATGACCTGCACTCGTCCTGACCTAGCATACCCTCTTAGCATCCTGGCACGCTATGTTGCTCCTGGGAGACACCGACCAGAGCACATGGCTGCAGCGAAGAGGGTGTTGCGCTACTTGTGCAGTACGTCGGGCATGGGGCTTGTGCTTGGAGGGCAGAGTCTAGTGGTCCTCACTGGTCACGCAGACGCTTCTTGGGCTGACGACTTGGCTACTCAGCGGTCGTCACAGGGTTACACCTTCAGCCTTGGTTCCGGCTCTGTTTCGTGGCGGTCTACCCGCTCGTCTTCTGTTCTCGGCTCCAGCTGTGAGGCCGAGATCTACGCAGGGGCCATGGCTGCACAGGAGTTACGCTGGCTCACCTACCTGCTGACCGACCTGGGAGAGCCGCCTCGTTCTCCTCCAGTTCTGTACGTAGACAACAAGGCAATGCTGGCCTTGTGTCGGGAGCAGAGACTGGAGCACAGAACGAAGCACATTGCTCTTCGCTACTTCCTTGCTCGTGAGCTGCAGCAGCGTGGTCAGCTGCGCCTTGCTTACGTGGCCTCTCAGGCCAACACTGCTGATATCTTTACCAAGGCACTTCAGCCTTGTGATCATCAGCGCTTTTGTACGATGTTAGGTCTTGTGCCTACTTGGCCTCACTTGCTCACTTCTTGACCTTGCTTGTACTGTGATCTATATATACCTGCACTTGCTTGTTTACCTTTATATATACTCCTGCATGTGAACTGGCCTTGTGGCCTTGACCCTGTGCTCGGATTGTGTGGTGACGTTGTGATCCACCCTGAGCGTGTTTGCTTTGCTTTGCTTGACTGGTCTTGTGACCCCTACTTCTCCCCCACTTTGCCTATGGGGGTGTGTCAGATTTATATGGCTTAGCCTATATAGGCTATAGTGGGGTAGCACATATGGGGTACAACACATTTCTAGGGTTTGTACTTGTATCCCATCCTCCCACTAGTCAATTAATTCCTTGTTCTTTCACAAGGAGAGTACGGTGGCGCAGCGCTTCGCCTCGCAATTCTTCCATGTAATGATGCGTTGTGCGGCGCTGTTGAAAGCGGGCACCTCTATGACTCCCGAAGATGTGGCAAGGGAAATTGGGACGGCACCTAACCACTGGGCAGGTGACCACTCCGAGTGTGGACGGAACGGGAGTGTTCCTCCAAGGTGTGTGACCGAGAAGTGGGGCAGGGAATGTGCACTTTATGAGCCTGGATCGGAAACGTACAAGGCGGTTCTTGCATGGTTCAAGAAACGGTGTTCGCGAGACAAGGTGAAACCCTATGTTCACGGAGCCAACAGTTCCATAAACGAGTCTTTCCATTCCCTGATCATCAAATACGCTGCTAAGCGTATTAGGTTCAAAGGTAGTCTTGAGGCACGAGTGGGGCTGGCTGTCCTGCATTGGAATAATTCGATGGACAGGCTGGTCACATCGTATCACACTCGTGTACGACAAGTAACGCGGGTGCGACGGGGCAACAAGGATCGAACCCTTGGACCTATGGATTGGTCCTGGGTTGCTCGGATTATGGAGGACTGGCAAGGATCGCTGGGGTTTGGAGTCGACGATGCGATTATGGAGACGGCCCCAAAGAGGCAGGCGCAGCATCCTGTCGACTTACCTTGTGGAGGGCGACACCCATCTGTTGTTGAGCCGGTTACTCCTGTGCGCCACGGTAGCACGCTCCGCGGCCTTACTTTGACGCGCGGTGCTGGGCGACGGCTTTTATGTAAGATCTGTACCACATTCTAACCAACCCTTACTCTTGTCTTATGTAATATATTTTGACGCTTCTCTTTTGCGATCATGTTACAGGTGATGCCACTAGCTATCCTCAGTAAACGTTTCGGAAACACCTTCGAATCCAAGGAAGGCTCTAAATCACCGTTTTGTCCAACACGCCGCGTCAATTTTGGCATCGGTGATGCCGGTGAGCGTCTTGAGGGTAATAGTGCTCATCCTTGTCCATAACACTGTCGCTCATGCCAATATCATCATTAGAATGTGCATCCTTCACTTCACCATCTATCTTCCCTTTCAGTCCCTATGTGCCCTCTCCCAGCCTTGTCCCATGCTCCCATCCTTCTCCCGTGCATGCCCATCTCACACCATAATGCTTTGATTCCCCTGTCTAGTCATTCTGTACCCTCCACCCTAGTCACTCATAGAGCATTATTTTCCCCTCGCATTCCAAACTTATTCTCCCAGCACGTGGACGTGCTGTTGGGAAAGGACATTGGCGTGGAGTTGGTGGCTCCGCGCCTGACCCCGATGGAGGCCTTGGCGCCCATTGGTGCGAGTGCCTTATGTCATGCAAGTCAACAGTAGTTGTGATGGTGACCTCAAGCAGTGTCCGGTGAAATATTGCTTACCATCAAATGTGTTTCGTAAGCCCTTCACCAATCCCAACCTTGCATGCCTTGTGACACTACCCCATTATCCCCTTTGCAATGAAATACAGGCTGCTGCTCCTCCTTCCGATTTCCCATGTTTTCACGCCCATCACAACATGATGCATACTACATCCCCTGGTCTATCTTGATGTGCACGTTTCACTATCATTATTTTCGTGCTGCCCATGATTTACACCCCTCCCCACACATGCGTTCGTCCAGCTTCCTGGACACTGATTCAACAGCTTTCAAGGTCGGGAGTGGCCCCTTATAGCATGGTCGACTTGTTGCTCTCATTCTTTATCGTATCTTTATTTGCTCTGATTTTCCATGTTTTGTTCCATTGTACTGCAGGTCCATTTGGCGTCCGAGGCATTTTTGCATATTTCAGAAATTGCTCGCCTTACGAAACTTTAGCTTTACACAGTAGAGCCTTTGTAGCAGAGTGATAAAACTCCAACTTGAGTGATTTTGGCAGCAACAGGTTATCCCTTTTAATGTTAGTAACTTCCTGTTTCTGCTCATGACAGAGAATGGTTAGCATGCGTGTCTCAAAGTGCTCAAGTCATAGCGGCCGTACGTACATTCCAGGCGATGTTACATACAGTAAACCATAAACCAGACTTATCCGAATGAGTGTTCGTCTACCATACATGTTTGCCACAATGGTCCTGGTTCCAAGAAATGACACAACATAAACACTCCTGCAGTGATAGTCAACAGTGATCAAAATTGAGTGCCCTCGTGTGGAGCACGAGCCAACAGGTGGTGTTGGAGGTGGACAACCCCCGGGCTCCATCCACGCCAGTGCATTGTTCTCGGTTGAGGGTGGAGGTGTGGAGGCGCTGGGCCTGCCGACGGTTGCCACACATCTCGCGTGCGGTGAGGGAAAGCAAAACAGGGTGGGGGGAAATAGTAGAGAGGGTGAGGGAAAGCAGGGCAGAGGGTGGGTTGTAGTAGGGGATAGGTCAGCGGGGAAGGGGGTGAGGAAGACGAGGGACAGGGAGACGGGGGACAAGGAGAACGGGGAGAGAGAGAAGGGGGACAGAGAGGATGGGGACGCAGAGCAGAGGAGAAGAAAATTAGGGAGTAGGGGGATATGAAGTAGGGGGAGATGGAGAAGGGGAACCGAGGAGAAGGGGAGCACGGAGAAGAGGGATCGCCGGATGGGGGACGAAGAGAAGGGGGACAGAGAGAAGGGGGACAAAGAGAAGGGGGACAAAGAGAAGGGGGACAAAGAGAAGGGGGACAAAGAGAAGGGGGACAAAGAGAAGGGGGACAAAGAGAAGGGGGACAAAGAGAAGGGGGACAAAGAGAAGGGGGACAAAGAGAAGGGGGACAAAGAGAAGGGGGACAAAGAGAAGGGGGACAAAGAGAAGGGGGACAAAGAGAAGGGGGACAGAGAGAAGGGGGACAGAGAGAAGGGGGACAGAGAGAAGGGGGACAGAGAGAAGGGGGACAGAGAGAAGGGGGACAGAGAGAAGGGGGGCAGAGAGAAGGGGGACAGAGAGAAGGGGGACAGAGAGAACGGGAACAGAGGGAACAGGGACAGAGAGAAGGGAGACAAAAAGAAGGTGGACAGAGAGAAGGGGGACAGAGAGAAGGGGGGCAGAGAGAAGGGGGATAGAGGGAAGGGGGACAGAGAGAACGGGGGACAGAGAGACGGGGGACTGAGAGTAGGGGGACAGAGGGAAGGGGGACAGAGAGAAGGGGGACAGAGAGAATGGGGACAGAGAGAACGGGAACAGAGGGAACAGGGACAGAGAGAAGGGGGACAAAAAGAAGGTGGACAGAGAGAAGGGGGACAGAGAGAAGGGGGGCAGAGAGAAGGGGGACAGAGGGAAGGGGGACAGAGAGAACGGGGGACAGAGAGACGGGGGACTGAGAGTAGGGGGACAGAAAGGAGGGGGACTGAGAGAAGGGGGGTCTGAGAGAAGGGGAACAGAGAGAAGGGGTTCAGTGAGAACAGGGACAGAGAGAAGGGGGGCAAAGGGAAGGGGACATCGAGAACAGGGACAGAGAGAAGGGCGACAGAGAGAACAGGGACATAGAGAACGGGGACAGAGAGAAGGGGGACAGAGATTCGGGGGACAGAGAGAAGGGATACAGAGAGAAGGGGAAGAGAGAGAAGGGGGACAGAGAGTTGGGGGACAGAGAGAAGGGTGACAGAGAGAAGGGGGCAAAGAGAAGGGGGACATAGAGAAGGGGGACAGAGAGAACGGGGGACAGAGAGACGGGGGACAGAGAGACGGGGGACAGAGAGACGGGGGACAGAGAGAACGTGCTGCCCGCTCACTGGCACCCACCACACTGCCCCCCCCACTCACTCGTACCCTTCCCCACTCACTCGTACCCTTTCCCACTCACTCGTAACCTTCCCCACTCACTTGTACCCTTCCCCACTCACACGTACCCTTCCCGATCACTCGTACCCTTCCCCACTCACTCGTACCCTTCCCCACTCACTTGTACCCTCCCCACTCACTCGTACCCTTCCCCACTGACTCGTACCCTTCCCCACTCACTTGTACCCCTCCCCACTCACTTGTACCCTCCCCATTCACTCGTACCGCTCACCTCATCTCATGTGGTAACCTGCACATTCATACATGTTACCGCTCCGTCTGTGCATACCTGTAGCCATTCCTGGACGGTCTTTGGGTTGAGGAGGCGGTACACGAGATAGGAGCACAAGGCCAGGTTGTATGGGGGAGGTGCATCCATGTCAACCTCGTCCGGCCCCTCCTCGTGCATCACCACTGCCTGCTCGTCTGTGGGAGAGAGGGGAGAGGGGCGGGGAGGAACCATCTGCACCCATTCGAACCCATCTCGCCTCTCAAAGGGAGGTGCATTGATGTCAAACTCGTCTGGCCCCTCTTCGTACATCACCACTGCCTGCTCGTCTGTGGGAGGGGGGAGGAGGAAGAGGAATGTGAGGGGAACGAGGAAGGGTGTGGGGATGCAATGTGAGAAGGCAAAGGAGAGGTGCATTGATGTCAAACTCGTCTGGCCCCTCCTCATACATTGCCACTGCCTGCTCGTCTGCATGACAGGGGAGAGAGGGGAGGGAGGGATTCAAGGACGGGGCTGAGAGGACAGGGGGATGAGAGGACAGGGGGGTGAGAGGACAGGGGGATGAGAGGACAAGGGAACGACGGAACGGAGTAAGGGGGGAGGCCAAGAGGTGTCAGTGTGGCAGGGTATAAGGGTGGAACCGGGGATAGGAGGATCCCTGCCACCTCTCTCCCTAACCTCCGCCTCCCCTGCTAACCTGCCCCGCCCCCTGGGGTTACTGCGCTCCATTATGCCCTCCTTTATGCGCTGCCCCGGCTGTGCGGCACCAAAGCCGCAGCAGCACCTGCCATACGTGGGGGGCCCTGGCGCAAGAGAGAGGAGGAGGTTGGCGCAAGAGAGAGGAGGAGGTTGGCGCAAGAGAGAGGAAGAGGTTGGCGCAAGAGAGAGGAGGAGGTTGGCGCAAGAGAGAGGAAGAGGTTGGCGCAAGAGAGAGGAGGAGGTTGGCGCAAGAGAGAGGAAGAGGTTGGCGCAAGAGAGAGGAGGAGGTTGGCGCAAGAGAGAGGAGGAGGTTGGCGCAAGAGAGAGGAGGAGGTTGGCGCAAGAGAGAGGAGGAGGTTGGCGCAAGAGAGAGGAGGAGGTTGGCGCAAGAGAGAGGAGGAGGTTGGCGCAAGAGAGAGGAGGAGGTTGGCGCAAGAGAGAGGAAGAGGTTAGCGTAAGAGAGAGGAGGAGGTTGGCGTAAGAGAGAGAGAGAGGGAGAGAGGTTGGTGCAAAAGAGAGGAGGAGGTTGGTGCGATTGAGAGGAGGAGGCAGGGTGGGTGGGAGGCAGGGGGGAAGGGAGAATGAGAGAGAAGGAAAGCAGGCTGCATGGGTGGAGTGGATCCTACCATGGACCATGGTAGGAGTAGAGAAGGTGGCAATGGGGAGAGCGAGAGCGACCTAATGAGGCAATGGGGAAGGGAAGCAAGGACGAAACTAATTCGTCAGGAAGGGATGAGAGGGTGGGTGGCGTGGGTGTTGAAGCGATGGTAATGAAAGGGAAGGTGATAGGCAGGGGAGGTGTTGACGACGTGGAGAGAGGTGGAAGGGAAGGGAGGTCGGCTGGATGGGAAATTTCCTGGCGAATGGGAGGGCGATGGGAGGGGAAGCGTGGGCGACGGTGGGGAGATAGCGTGGTCGACGGTGGGGGGAAGCGGCGTGGGCGACGGTGGGGGGAAGCGTGGGCGGCGGTGGGGGGAAGCGTGGGTGACGGTGGGGGGAAGCGTGGGCGACGGTGGGGAGATAGCGTGGTTGACGATGGGGGGGAGCGGCGTGGGCGACGGTGGGGGGAAGCGTGGGCGACGGTTGGAGGAAGCGTGGGCGACGGTGGGAGGAAGCGTGGGCGACGGTTGGAGGAAACGTGGGCGACGGTGGGAGGAAACGTGGGCGACGGTAGGCTGAAGTGGGGGTGACGATCGGAGGAAGCGTGGGCGATGAGTTGTAGTGAATGTGGGGGAAGGCGTGAGCGAAGGTGTGGGGAAGCGTGGGTGCACCCACGGAGGCAGGAGGAAGCGCATGCGACGGTAAGGGGAAGCGTTTGTAAGGGGAAGCGTTTGTAAGGGGAAGCGTTTGTAAGGGGAAGCGTTTGTAAGGGGAAGCGTTTGTAAGGGGAAGCGTTTGTAAGGGGAAGCGTTTGTAAGGGGAAGCGTTTGTAAGGGGAAGCGTTTGTAAGGGGAAGCGTTTGTAAGGGGAAGCGTTTGTAAGGGGAAGCGTTTGTAAGGGGAAGCGTTTGTAAGGGGAAGCGTTTGTAAGGGGAAGCGTTTGTAAGGGGAAGCGTTTGTAAGGGGAAGCGTTTGTAAGGGGAAGCGTTTGTACGGGGAAGCGTTTGTAAGGGGAAGCGTTTGTAAGGGGAAGCGTTTGTACGGGGAAGCGTTTGTACGGGGAAGCGTTTGTAAGGGGAAGCGTTTGTACGGGGAAGCGTTTGTAAGGGGAAGCGTTTGTAAGGGGAAGCGTTTGTAAGGGGAAGCGTTTGTAAGGGGAAGCGTTTGTACGGGGAAGCGTTTGTACGGGGAAGCGTTTGTAAGGGGAAGCGTTTGTAAGGGGAAGCGTTTGTAAGGGGAAGCGTTTGTACGGGGAAGCGTTTGTACGGGGAAGCGTTTGTACGGGGAAGCGTTTGTACGGGGAAGCGTTTGTACGGGGAAGCGTTTGTACGGGGAAGCGTTTGTACGGGGAAGCGTTTGTACGGGGAAGCGTTTGTACGGGGAAGCGTTTGTACGGGGAAGCGTTTGTACGGGGAAGCGTTTGTACGGGGAAGCGTTTGTACGGGGAAGCGTTTGTACGGGGAAGCGTTTGTACGGGGAAGCGTTTGTACGGGGAAGCGTTTGTACGGGGAAGCGTTTGTACGGGGAAGCGTTTGTACGGGGAAGCGTTTGTACGGGGAAGCGTTTGTACGGGGAAGCGTTTGTACGGGGAAGCGTTTGTACGGGGAAGCGTTTGTACGGGGAAGCGTTTGTACGGGGAAGCGTTTGTACGGGGAAGCGTTTGTACGGGGAAGCGTTTGTACGGGGAAGCGTTTGTACGGGGAAGCGTTTGTACGGGGAAGCGTTTGTACGGGGAAGCGTTTGTACGGGGAAGCGTTTGTACGGGGAAGCGTTTGTACGGGGAAGCGTTTGTACGGGGAAGCGTTTGTACGGGGAAGCGTTTGTACGGGGAAGCGTTTGTACGGGGAAGCGTTTGTACGGGGAAGCGTTTGTACGGGGAAGCGTTTGTACGGGGAAGCGTTTGTACGGGGAAGCGTTTGTACGGGGAAGCGTTTGTACGGGGAAGCGTTTGTACGGGGAAGCGTTTGTACGGGGAAGCGTTTGTACGGGGAAGCGTTTGTACGGGGAAGCGTTTGTACGGGGAAGCGTTTGTACGGGGAAGCGTTTGTACGGGGAAGCGTTTGTACGGGGAAGCGTTTGTACGGGGAAGCGTTTGTACGGGGAAGCGTTTGTACGGGGAAGCGTTTGTACGGGGAAGCGTTTGTACGGGGAAGCGTTTGTACGGGGAAGCGTTTGTACGGGGAAGCGTTTGTACGGGGAAGCGTTTGTACGGGGAAGCGTTTGTACGGGGAAGCGTTTGTACGGGGAAGCGTTTGTACGGGGAAGCGTTTGTACGGGGAAGCGTTTGTACGGGGAAGCGTTTGTACGGGGAAGCGTTTGTACGGGGAAGCGTTTGTACGGGGAAGCGTTTGTACGGGGAAGCGTTTGTACGGGGAAGCGTTTGTACGGGGAAGCGTTTGTACGGGGAAGCGTTTGTACGGGGAAGCGTTTGTACGGGGAAGCGTTTGTACGGGGAAGCGTTTGTACGGGGAAGCGTTTGTACGGGGAAGCGTTTGTACGGGGAAGCGTTTGTACGGGGAAGCGTTTGTACGGGGAAGCGTTTGTACGGGGAAGCGTTTGTACGGGGAAGCGTTTGTACGGGGAAGCGTTTGTACGGGGAAGCGTTTGTACGGGGAAGCGTTTGTACGGGGAAGCGTTTGTACGGGGAAGCGTTTGTACGGGGAAGCGTTTGTACGGGGAAGCGTTTGTACGGGGAAGCGTTTGTACGGGGAAGCGTTTGTACGGGGAAGCGTTTGTACGGGGAAGCGTTTGTACGGGGAAGCGTTTGTACGGGGAAGCGTTTGTACGGGGAAGCGTTTGTTACGGGTAAGCTTTGTACGGGGAAGCGTTTGTACGGGGAAGCGTTTGTACGGGGAAGCGTTTGTACGGGGAAGCGTTTGTACGGGGAAGCGTTTGTACGGGGAAGCGTTTGTACGGGGAAGCGTTTGTACGGGGAAGCGTTTGAGACGGTAAAGGGAAGGGAAGCGGAAGAGACGGTGAGGAAAAGGGTTTTCGACGGTGAGGGGAAGCATGGGCGTGAGCGTGGGGGACGCGGAACCTAATGCGAAGTTTGCGGAAGGGCGATGCTAGGGCGACCGAGCCCGAAATCGTGATACGCCATCGCGTTGCTGTCGTACCGATAAGCTACGACTGCAAAAGAAGAACGGGTCTCTATTTTGGCCGGATGGATTGACGGTGGAGGCGGCATGCTGGGGATACTATCGCGACGCGCGAGTAGGCGCTTGTTTCTACGCCGTTGACTACGTTTCGCTGCACCTTCATATGGCGAGAAAGTGGCGGTTGTGGTAGAGGATACTACGCGGCATCGGCTCGACTGCAACTAAACTCGCCAAACGACCCTGATTCGTGTCTTTGAGCACTGCGCTTAGAAGGACGATTGCCCGTTTGTGACGGGAGAACTACTACTAGCGTGCCTCATAATATGCTTGTCGAAGCGTACCCGATGGTTTTCAAGTTTACTCAAGGTGAACAGTGCTTTTCCCCGAGGACGCGTCATAATTGCAACACCGATCCCCTAGGGGATCGATGTTTGGGGTGTACAGTACTTCGTAGACCTGTGTATCCTTATTTCGCAAATCTTCGTTAAGACTCGAGTCACGTCACCAAGAGAGATGTCTCTTCCAGATCGATCTGTCACCGTACTCAAATCAAGCGTAATCGTTTACAATTTTCCGAAACGTTTCTAACCCCGCAAAAATCAGGATCGTGAGGACGATCGCGACACATGTGGCTCGGACGAGATTGATGTTCACAGCTTCGGTGTGCGACCTTGATCCTCGCCGGTGTTGCAATTGTGACGCGTCCTGGGGCCTTTTTCCTGCTGGCTGTTCTGGTTTGTCGCTGGCCAATCACAGATCACCTCTGCTGCTTGAAAGCGATGGATTGTTCGGAACCAGCTGGTAACACTGTTATTTACGAACTCAACTTCAATATACTTGAATTTGAAAATTACCATGTGGTACTCGGGCTCCCCTCATCGACCGCTACTCTCTTGTCAGGTCGACGGACTGCTCCGTCTACCTCCCGGTCGGACTGCTCCTCCTGGTCGACGGCCCACCCATCGCCCAGCCCAGTCAGCTGCAATTGTCGAGCTCCCTGGTCGACGGTTCCAGCCCCGTTACAGTCTTGTGCAGGTCGACAGCCACCTCATCGACCTGCCCTGGCAGAATAAGGCCGTCGAGCACTCCTGGTCGACGGCAACACCACAGCGGTCCCCTGTAGCTCGACGAGGCCCGTCGAGCAGCTCTCCCACTATGAACGATCGGCTGCTTCTCCCGTACATCCAACCAAGTCGTCGGTGTTGCCCAAGCGAGGGCGGGGCCAACACTCCACTCCCGTTAACACGTGAAAAGGGTCACTAATGCTTTAGTTGCTTGACTTTTGAGCACTTCCTGGTTACTTATGCTGGAAACAATCAGTCTTAAGCGCCTCTGTCGTGTCGAAACACCAAGACACAAGCGAAGCAAAGCATATCGAGGCACCAGCGAGTCAACCCTCGGAGGTTGAAGTAACCGCTGGAGGTTACGCGAAAGTCAAAGGTCAGCGACCTTTGACCTGACAAGTACAGCGCGACAGCAAGGACACACAACTGACTCGCTACAGAGCAGTTGCCCGAGTCGTCACTGTATCGAACCGCAACAGCAACAGTAAAGTAGTTACAACCGTGTCTCTTCGTATTCCTTGTACTCTTATATAATCTTGTATCTCTTTGCTTTAATCAATCGACTTTGCTCTCACATACTAGCGCAAGGTGGTTCACAATCTCTTCACTAAACGCTTCCGCTATTACAATCCTACCCAGAGTTCATCCCTGTAAAGATCCTAAGGGCTTTTCTCAGCCCAACATGGTATGAGAGCAGTCAGGGAGAATTCGACTTCTATTAAAATACCGACAGCATCAACAGACATGGCTACACAAAAGGAAAGGAGCTCCTCTAACGGCTCACAGGGTACTACTCCTACTCCACCTCCTGCCTCTTGTGAGGATCTAGGATCGAGCTCAGAAAAGTGGGTTTGAATTGAATGATTCACCTGGGT